ACTTCGCTGCATTCGCAACCTGTTTCTCTTCAAACCACGGAATGAACCATTCTCTGTGACACTTCCAGAGATTGTCCTAGAACCCTCGTGCCTGTCTCCTTCAGACACACAGTCCTTGACGCACTGCACTCACTACAACATCCCCGTATCTGTGCATCATTGAAACTGGTCACCGAACGTTTCATTTGGCCACGCGTAAATAAAGATGTTCCTACCTGAGCTCGCGCCTGTGTTCAGTACTAGCGCTCCAAAATACATCGTCGCACCCGCAGTCCTCTTGGTTCCTTTCAAGTCCCGGACTATCGGTGCTCGCATGTACACGTAAACCAGGTAGGTCCATTGCCCCCTTTCATGCGGATTCGTATAGATTCTTACGTGTGTCGACCGCTTCACCAGATGGCCAGAAGCCATTCCCGTAACAGACTGCACAGCTGAGACTGCTATCCGGGCCTTCTTAGTTTGGTGGGTCTCGCAAAACGGATGTCCATCCACCATTACAACTGACCGACGAATACCCTTCGAATCTTCACAGTTCGATAAGTGCTGCAACTTTTTAGGCTGCCGCTGCATTCATACCACAGCGTTTGACCCAGCAACCAACGGTTCAGTTGAAAGTTTCCCTAGACAGCTTAAAGCCTCGCTCTACGTCTTCTCCGACCCTAACTTGAGCGAAAACGTTTCGCTCGTACTCTTATGCATTCGAGCAGCATCCAAGCCGACTTGCAATGTGCACCAGCAGAGCTGGTTTACGGCACAACACTAAAGTTGCCAGGAGCATTCGTTTCGCTTCCGCGTTGTCGGGTATGCCTCCGCCTAACTTTGCGTCCTCCCTAGCTCAACGCATGCGTTCACTACGCCCGACCCCGCCCCGTATTTAGACTAGAGATGTACAAGTGCACAGCGGACTCTCTACCTGCACTCATGTCTTTCTCCACACCGACGCAGTGCGACGCCGTCTACAGCTTCCCTACACTGCCGCTTTCAGAGTCCTGCAACGGACTCCGAAACATTTCACTTTAGACCAGAATGATCACCGAACAACGGTGTCCATCGACCGCCTCAAAGTGGCTTTCTTTGACGAACCACTTGCAACTTATCCTGGTGCTATCACACAAGCACCCGCACCTGTAGTGACTTCCCGAGTACTGGATATCCCGAACCCCTTCTTTCCCCTTGACCCTCAACCTACCCCGCCTCAACCCCAGGCAACCAACCCGTTTTTCAGATTTTGTAAACGTTTGCTATTTCCATTAACAAGTTTTTTCGTCTTTAGTGGTAATCGTGCGTCTCGTCCACAAACGTTTTGCAAAAGCGAGAAAAAAAGCACAAAGCATTTTGAAAACTTAAAAGGCGAATTTGCTTTTATCATGCATGCCATGTTCCCTCCCCGGCGTCAAACCACTTCCACTCTGAGTTCTACCTTCCAGAAACTCAACCACCAAAACTGCCAAGGCCACCCAGTCAAGGCCAACCAGTCCAACGCAACACTGGAGGGAGTAGCCAGCCGGCTCAAGGCCCCCTTCCTGACCCAAGGAACAGTCAGTCGTCCTCGGCCGCAGACAGCCACGAACGGTTTGGCTCTTAAACGCCTACCTATGCGTTGCCGACGAGGACGCATGAGTTCTTCGTATAAAGAAGACGCCTGGATTTCTTCTTGGGACGAGGACGTCTGGATTTCTCCGTGGGACGAGGACCGTGGACTATAATGCGGTGGGGAAATGACACCACCCAAGCGCACCGTTGGGTCTGCAGCAAAGGGAAGGTCCTGTCGGCCTTTTTTCTGGACTAGCCAGGGTTTTGCAATCCGACCAGCCCGTCCCGACGGCCCACTGATGATACACTCTGCTCCACACGATCATCCTAAATAATAACTTACCAAAGCCTGGACCCAGTGAACTCTGCTACACACCCCACCTTGGAAGCCCGTGTTCAAGCCCATGCAACTTTTCGCACCCATCTTCACCTTCCGTTTTCCATACTAACAGCTCCATCGAAGGCTCCCACCCTTCAGCCTTCTAGGGGAAGGCCCTTGTAGTGTACCGGAAAACAGGTCCTTTCAGTAGTTTGCAACATTGGATTTTATCTTTGATTTAATCTTCCAAACGTCTACTTGTTTTACTGACGGCACTTCCGTTGACGCAAATGATTTTGGTGGGTATTTTGTTGCACCATTTCTCGCTCTTGTTGATTCATTTCCTATTTTTGTAACCTGTGCGATACACATTGGGTTCAGTCGCTTCTAGCTTCTATGCTGCCCCTTATTTGACACGTCTCTCAAGTGTCATTGAATACCGACTAGTATCCAAGGCGCCACCCAACACGCTCCTGGAATGGACATTGGATTTGCTTGCTGTTACATGTTTGTGCTTTGAAACTACACGGATCGCAGGACTACAGCGAAATAAACGATAGGTCCCTCTTTTAAACATAAATAACCCAGTGTTTGTTATTGTTCGATAACTCTGCAAAACCACCCGACGGAGCATGTAAAGCATTGCTTCTTAACGCGTATAAATTCATTGTTCCTTATGAGTGGCACACTATCATGGAAAAAGTGACAGTGCTAGCCGTGGAACATTCACTAAAACAGTTATATTTTTAGGTGCATTAATGTATGTGTGCGCAGCTAGCTGCGTAGCCAATCGCAATATTATGAAGTCAGGAATCTTTGTGCGCTGCCATTCTCACACTAGTGAAGTTGCAGATGTACACTGGTTTACATGCGATTTAGCCGTTTGATCATAGGCAACTGTGACATCGCGACTTAATGCGCTACTCGTTATGTCTGTTAGCCTGCGCCCGCAATGTGACCATCGCACGTATAAGCTCCTGGTAAATCTAACACAGTGATACCGACCACCGGCCGTGAAAGAATGCGAACAAGTAGCAGCTCTTTCCGCCAACAGGCACTGCTAAGGGGGTGAAGGTGGAGCATGTTCCAACTCCTGTTTTTACTTTTACCCAATTTCATCCTATCCCGCAACTGGTGACCTAAGGCATGAACAGGCTTATCTACACCATGCAACCCGTCATCGCCCGCGTGACAAACTGCTCGCGAACATGTCCGGCCAGCACTTCTGTGCCACACACATGTCTACCTTTTGCTCTGTACGTACACCCGATATCCTATTGGCTGACAGCGCTTACGTTTTCCTTCGAGTCGATGGTCTACGCAGACCACTCGAACGACCCTACGAAGGTCCATTTAAGGTTCTTAAACCTAAGGACCGCGTATTCGTTATCGACCGCCACGGTAAACGTGAAACTGTCTCTCTCAAGGTTGCCAATGTGGAACCTGAGATCGACGATGACTCCTGTCCACCTTCGGACGAGTCAACGCAGCCTATGATCGACGACACGCCTACTTCCGATGCTACGAAGCATTCTCCGACTAACCCTTCCGACTCAGTTCCTTCCGATTCTATCGAGCCGAAAGCTTCCTCATCCGACAAAACTGCTGGATCGACAACGCCTCCGATCGAACGTCCAAAATCGACTAGGTCAGGTAGGCGGGTTCATTGGCCAGCGCGATTAAAAGATTAGCCTTCTTTTCATTCTTCCTTTCCCGCTTCCTTTTTGCTTGTGGCTTAACCCGCCCAACAAAACGGCAGTTTTGAAAACCCAAAAAATTTGCAAAGCATTTTGAAAACCCAAAAAACCGCAAAAACGTTTTGAAAACCTAAAAATGGAGAAAATCGTTTTGAAAAAACAAAATGGTTCTCGCTTTATTCGCTTATCGCACTCGGTAAGTGCTATCGCCTTTTGTTAGCTCTGTCGCTCTCACCTGTTTGACACTCCGCGTTTCCGCTTCTTTTTTATATCCCCGACACGCGGACGTTCAACGACAATCGAACGTTACGTTTTCGGACACTACGTGCTCAAACATCATGGGCTGTGACACTACGCACTCGAACGCTACGAACATTTCCCCCGTTTTGTGTTTTTGGCACCTGTAGGGAGGACACGGGTGCGAGCCCCCCTAGCGTCCGATCGCATTGGTTCACCCTCAGCAGCTGCATCAGGTTTCACCGCCTGGTCTCGCAGAAGGCTGGCCGGCGACGGACAGTCCTCACGTAGATCGAAGGGTCACCTACAGTTCCCTTCTAAGAGGGGGGGCTGTGTGGTGACCTGGAGATTCCCCTGTTTGGCTGCAGCATGCTGCGTAAAATATTACAAAATCACAAAATTATATTTTCTCGATGTACATAGCAAATTAGCCGCTCGCCTGTTTGAACGTTGCTCGCGTTTGGTTGAGTCAACATAGCATCCGCCTTCGAACGGCGCGACGCTCATCGGTTCCGCGGCCATCTTTGCCCTACGCGCACGCGACCACAACTTTCCCGCAGCTAGCTATCTTCCGGTGCGCTATTTTTAGCACTAGATAGCGTTTCGTCCCACGTAATAACTTTTTCCTAGCGTTACTTTTGGTGTTGTTTACTCATCGGAGGTTGGCTTTATATTCGCGTATTGGTTCTAAAGTGTACCGATCCTGCTTCTCGCTTTAAGTCTACACACAAATAATACATAACGGAACTTGGACCCAGCAGACCCCACGCACTCTTTTCCGGCGAGTTCTGCGTTTACCCTCACATGAACCATCCATCCAAGTATCTGCACTCCCCTGTTTTAACATCTGACATGCTTATCGAAGATCTCTTACACTAAGCCTTATACGGATTATTCGCAGTGAACCAAAATGTTTTCTGTCAGCAACATGAACTTATATTTCACTTTGTGCTCCCCAACCATCCAGTTGTCCTATCGAATGTTATTACCCTCACATGCGCTTTTTCGGTGAATCACGCGCTACATTGCAAACTGCACTTGCTTGTCTGCCTTCCGTTCTTTGTTGTTCTCTTCATTACACATTGAGTCCGACTACCCTTTCTGTTCTGTATGATTCTGTATTTGGCAAACCGCTCAATTACCCACCCTCGCACCGGCTATCTGAATTTTCCCTCACAAGAGAACATATTTCCAGAAGAGCATTACTGAGTTGTGTCCAACCACCACCATATTTATGATTGCGACAGAAGGACCAAAATGCAAAAATGTATTTAGACAAGCAGATGGAAAACAAAGTTTGTCAGTGTTAAAAAAGCTCAAAGGTTCTATTCCTCCGCAAATATGAAAGAGTTTCCAATTCGGGAAAAATCTGGCGCTGTTAAAGAAAGGACCCGTTAAGTTTCATAAGATGTTATTATGAGAAGAAAACCGTTAAGCACTTAAATGATTCAACTGTAGTTATGCATGATAAAATTGTAACAACATCTGTTTGGTGAAAGATTATTCCTTAGCTTGCCCGGACAGAAGAGCAGTCTCATTATAAATGCCAAACTATGTAAGGAAACATCGCATAATGCAGATGATCTTGAAAGCGAAATGATATGGTGGAGTTTGTAGCAACAAACAGTAACAAGTAGGTATGCTGTGCGCACTAGCCATGCGATACCAAAATGTTGGGATACGTTAGGCTGACTGGCGCAATAAGATGTCATAATAACCCTTCTCATCAGCAACAATACAGCATTGTCTTATAATGGTGTTTCGGCGTTATGCAAATACTTCAATACAACAAACTAGAAATAGGAAGAGATAAAAACGAGTAGGGTTGAAAGCTACCAACCTCGAGCACAGGTACGGGATTTACTTGCGTAAATTTTGCCAATAACGCAGGGTCGCAAACAGTTGTTCAACGTATAAAAATAAGGTAACCTTGGTGACACCATTATCTTGCAACTTCCACAATCTCGCATCATGATCCAAGTGAACTCACAGCTAACTCAGAATCATGCACACTTTAAACGGGTGAAAGAACTAGAGACTGACAGGTGCCTGTTGTGTAATTGTGATGGTAGTATCAGACCAGAGCTATCAGATGGACAAAGCAAGCGAGCCAGACAGCCAATAGGAGGCGAACGTGACGGATTCGATTACTGGACTCCATCAGCCGATATTTGTGTGAGTGATTTGCCGTTTGTTTAACTGAAGCAAAGGAGGAACCTCATCAACTCAGAATGGTCGTTAGTTATAGACTTGAGTGTGCAATTTATATCGAGGCGTTTGGCTTGCCGACCACGCTGCAATTTTCGCGGACTTGATTTTGCTGAATAAAACTTTGCCCCTGAGGGACTGACTTCTGCAACATGGTGTCGGGGAAAACAAAGGCGAACCTCCTCGGCGGCGCTCCGATGCTGTTTGAATCACCAGAGTCTATTCAGATTTTCGCCCCATCGAACATGCATGAACGGAACTTGGTGAGCAATTAGCGTCTATGGAGGAGCAGGTGGATAGACTACAGCACCTTAGTAAGTTTGGACGAGCAACCGATGGCGTATCGCTTGGCCATGTTTCGACACGCAGCCGGGGATGACGCGCGTGGAGGGATAGAGACATAGCAATACAACAAAGGTAAAGATCTCAATAATTTGCCGACCGTGGCTGGAAAGTACAGTGAATTTTGCGGAGGTCAAACCAACGACACCTACCAGCCTATCTTCTCTTTTTGGGCAACAGAGGTCCAAACGAATCCATCGACGCGTACAGCACTGAGTTAACTATTTTGGCACGATCTTGCAATCTCTGTAAACACATTGGGGACAGTCTCATACGCGATCGGATCGTTCGAGGAATCAATGATGTACTTACGACAAAGCGGTTTTTGTTATAACGCAACTTGTCACTACAGCAGTGCATCGATATCTGCAACAATGAATCCTATACCACCTATCAGTAGTAGCAAATGAAATTCGTGACTGATGCAGAATTGTGTGCCGTTTCCGGAGGCGAAGTCGCGTAGGCTACTAAGGTGAGATAGGAGATCTGCAAATTTTGCGCCGCAGGACACCCGAGCTCCCGCAAACAATGTCCGGCATAAAGTCGGAGGTGCGCCAAAGGTGGAAAAATGAACCACTGCTCGTTGTACCCGATCAATTAATGTGAGTGCGGTCGCTTGTTACAAGTCAGTCGCAAATGCAGAACATTCGAATGGTAACGTGTCTCGGAAGGTGCTGCAAAAATGTCTACGCAAGTCTGTTGATCGGAGGCAAAGCCGTACGATAGTAGTTAGACCAGGGAGTTACTGCCAGTCTTCTACCAAGGAAGCACTGTCCCGGAGTGTGCATCCCATCCAATCAAGATTGCGTGCGTATGTGGAATGATTTCAGACTTAATCCGAAGGGCTCAGCTACTATCGAATTGGTTAACCCAAGAGACGGAGTCGTACGTCGACTGGAGTTTGTGATCGTGGAGGAGGAACTCACCCCGATTCTCGGAGTTGATTCGATCCAGTCTCTCGGTTTTGTTGTTTTTAAGCATGGTCGTTTTGTGCATACTTTCCATGGAAAAAACGGATTTTAGTGACCAGTATCCGTCTGTGTTTAGCCCAGGTTTAGGAAAGTTTGGAGGAACCGCTCATTTGTCCTTAGATCCTATGATATGACCTACAGTTACCGGCTAAGAGTGTTACATTTGCACTGCGGGACAGGTTTTCCGTTGAATTTAGCAAATTAGTGAGACAGCGTGTGATTGCCAAAGTCGAAGAGCCAACCCATTGGGTTAGTCAGGTCGCAATCAGTACGAAGAAGACGGGCTAACTGCGTGTGCATATTGACCCAAAACCGTTGAATGAAGTCTTGCATAAAGAGCATTATGCCATACCTACCCTAGAAGACATTTTGCCGTGTTTGGCCAAAGCTGTGTTTCACTAAGGTAGACCTCTCTTCGGCATTCTGGCACGTGGTTCTAGATGATGAATCCAGTTTCCTTACTACCTTTGCAACACCGTTCGGGCGTTATCGTTGACTGCATTTGGCGTTTGGTTTGAAGGTGTCGAGTGAAATTTTCCAAAAACGATTGGTGCAAGCGGTAGACGATTTAGATTGTGTAACATGCGTGACGGACGATGTTTTGACCTATGATTCGACAGAAGCAGAGCATGAGGCTAATCTCCACCGTTTGTTGCAGCGTTGTGTACAGAAGAACATCAAGCTTAAACATGGGAAATTGAACTTCGGAAAGATGAAGTGATTTTCCATGGGCATTTGCTAACAACCCAAGGGATCAGGGTCGATCAAGGAAAACTTAAAGCAATTCGAGAGATGCGGCACTGTAAAGACGTGAAGGGGATCCATTGCTTAAACGGTATGGTGAATTACTTGAGCCGTTTCATGCCAAGACTCGCTGATATCATGACGCCGATCATGGAGTTAACTAACAAAGGAGTAAAGTGGAGTTGGGGAAAAGAACAGAACACCACCTTCTAAACTATTAAGCATTTCATCAGCAACGCGCCTGTAGTTGGGTATTACGATCCAGCGCAACCTTTGGAGGTACAGTATGACAGTAGCCAAGAGGGAATTGGTGCTGTTCTCTTACAGAATGGAAAACCTTTGGTTTTCCGCAGCCGAGCACTCACCGTGACCGAGCAACACTATGCGCAGGTTGAGAAGGGGATGCTTGCGGTAGTCTACGCCATGAAGTGTTTCAACGATTATACTTTTGGAGGAAAGACAACGGTGTATGCAGACCACAAAACGCTTGTGTCAATAGCTAGGAAACTGCTGCACGTCATTATTCATCGCCTTCAGCGTATGCTTATCCGGGTTCAAAAATACGAAGTGGATGTTGTGCATACGCCTAGCGCACATATGTTCATCACGGATACGTTGTCAAGCGCTCATCTGCCGGTATCCGAGCATAATTCGGAAGAGGTAGAAGCAGTAAGCTTAGTACAGCCCCTGGCAGTGACAGAAGATCGCCTAAAGGGACTAATGCGTCACACAGAAGAAGATGCAACGTTTTCAAGTTTGCAAGACGTTACTCTAAATGGGAGACCAGAGACGAAGAAGCAGCTGTCGAAGGAACTAACATCCTACCACCATTTTCGGGATGAAACCCGTCCATGATGGTTCGCTGTTCACTGGAAGCCGTATTCTGATTCCGTCATCGCTCCGAGGAGAAATGCTGAAATACGTTCATCACGCCCACCTGGGTATCAACTATACCATTAACCGAGCAAGAGAAGTGATCTTTTGGTCAGGAATGACGGGTCAAATAAGAGCTTATATGAAATCCGGCAGACGAGGTAACCAATGATGCTGCATGATGTCCCTGACCGACTGTGGCAGAAGGTGGCAATGGATTTATTCAGTGATAACTGGAAAAATTACTTACTCACGGTGGATTACTACAGTGGTTATTTTGAAATCGATCTACTCACCACTACGACCACAGAGGCAGTAATCAACGAGCTCAGATGTCAGTTCGAGCATCGCGGTATACCGGGGGACTGGTCTCTGATAACGGGCCCCAATTTCCCAGTGGTACGTTCCAGGCCTTCGCATCCAAGTGTGAATTCGTGCACCATCCAACCAGCCCTATCACAGTCAATGGAATGGAAAGGCGGAGCAGGCAGGAAAGCAAGCCAAGCGACTGTTATCGAAGGCTAGAGCAACTGGCGAGGACCCGTATCTCATGCTACTAGATAATCGCAACATTCTTTCAAAGAATATCGGTTTGAGCCCAGTGCATCGCCTACACCGCCGAAGGACTGGAATTTCGATACCGGCATCTGCCACACTCTTGCGCCCAGTTTCACCACAGCACGAGCAATTACAAAACAATCTGGGACGACGAATAACCACTCAGAAACGGTACTACGACCGCGGTGCACGAGTACTACCTGAGCTAACAGTGCAGGAAGAAGTGTGGGTGCAAGCATTATCCGATAGTCAAGAGTGGTGGAAGAAAGGTGTGGTGACTGGGAGGGTCGGTGCCAGGTCATACGAAATAAACGTTGGAGGAAAATGTTTAGAAAAATTCGAGTGCATTTGAGATGGCACCAGAGACAACAATGTGGATTGGGAGTGGAGTGCCAGATGGTGTGGGGCAAGGAGAACACGGCCACAGATACAGCGAATACGACGCGGAGTGGAAAGGTATACGGAATGGACAGCAATATGGAGGCGCAATAACACGAAAAAGAGGAGGATGTGATGGAAGTACCAGATTCGAGTGATTAGATGGACCAACCGAGCGAGGCAGACATCCAATGGGAGGCGGATGTGACGGAATCGATTACTAGACACGATTGGCCGATATTCGTGTGAGTGATTTGCCGTTTTTTAACTGAAACAAAGGAGGAACCTCATCGACTCAGAA